CGATGACATTTGGTACAGAGATAGACCTTGGTGAAGAAGAATGAAGATAGGCTACATTTTGTCGCGTGAGGTCCAACCCGGGGAGACTCTCAATGAGGGATTTTGAGATTTACGATGAACATTTTTGTTTTTTTAATTGGTTCTATTGGTTTTAATAATAATAATATTTATTATTATTAATGTGATCAACTTTTGTATTTTAGTATAGAATGTATAGAGATTAGAGTTTGAACCAAGGTTTCAGTGAACCAATTTTTTGCATTTTTTGATACTTTAGAGTTAAATTATACACTTACTTACGCACGTTAGATTGCCTACCTATTAACATACTGCTCGCATAATCACAAGAGAATCTCACGCCGGTCGGGATGGCTATAAATTAAAATATAATATGATTTAATCTTAAAAAGGCATTGCTTCTACAGCGTGTTACACTCAAAAGGAGTTGAACAATCACAAAAACCTATAGCAATAGCCAATAGCAAAGCATTGCGGCGTGTCAACTAGTAGTTATATAATATACTACATATAGTTGTCCAAATCTGAAACACGACAAATCGCCATAATAAATATGTGACTGTAAACACAAACGCTGTTTTTATAAATGACAGTGAGATTCATATAATTTAAGAGACGATCACGCGCGCACGGTCACCCCTGAGGCTCTGTCGACCCATTTAACGGCTATTCACTGTTCAATAACACGTCGAGAGCACCACAAACTACACTGCAGCTTCGCGGTCCAAACGATATAGGGGACTTTATATTCTTTATGTATACGTTTATACATGTGTCAATGAACATTTACACTGTGCAATTTGTGTTTAACCACCGTGGGCATGCGTTCAACGCGTAAAAAAATATAATAACAACATGATTTAATTTCACGCTGGATAATTATTATAATATATTTATCATATAGATTATATAGGCGTTGATGTGAAACACTCGTATACATATACCATATACTAGTAGGTTTAATAATAAAGGTAGTTATATTAGGTATATTTAGGTACCTATAGGACCTAGCTGGTGTTTCGCGGAAGTATTGCGAAAGCAGCCGTCGGTTCAAACACGAAAAAAAAAGGACCTAGCTGGTGTACACCCAATGTTGAGCCTACCACTGTAAACACTAAACATAATAATATATGAAACGGTAAAATAATTTAACATGGTATATAGGTAAGTAGGTATATAATATTATAGTATTTTACCTATTATTTTATCTCTGTGGATATTCCTGTAGGTAGTATAATATAATAGTAGTATGTTTAAATGCCTGCAGATTTAATGATTTTGGCAGAGCTGTGCTGCACTTCTGTAAATAGCTGAATAGTACTGCTAGTATATTTAATTTTATTAATTAGTGTATCAATAATTACCATTATATAAGTACTTTGTTTATAATATACGACTATGTGAACCAATGTTACGAGATAAAATAAAATATTATGTTGAAATATATTTTTAAAAACCTATTTATTATACATTTGTAATTGTTAATTTTCCTCGTTTTTATATTTATTTTATTCAATAAGTCAATAATTCATATCAATATATTATGTATAATATATTATTTACGTATATACCATTCTATATAGGTACAGTGTTCTGCCAGTAGACGATTTCAATGAAACGATGATGTACCTATGATCGCTATAATAATATATAATAGGTGGTCAATTAAATAATATATGTATAGTATTTTATTATAATACCTAACCTATACAGCTGGTACCTACGTAGTACGTATAATGTTGGTTAGTTTTTTTCGTTATCCTCGTGTAAATTTGAATACTGACAGATTATTTATTGTTTATAATGTATTATATAGGTACTTGGTACAAAGGGTGTGCCGTGCTGTATTTCAATTTATTTATTCATGTCAAAATGACACATAAATCAACAATCGGGTCGTCAAAATGTTTAAAAAAGCTATTCGTGTAACTGTTTTATATTGTTCAGTTTAGGCTATACGTATAGGTATATCCATACAAAATTATTTATTACGATTGACATACTAAAAATATACATTTGAATAACAAATATTCGTTTCGCGTATTTACTATTTACACTATAGGGGAATGTATTATCAAATATTGTGTGTATATACACGTATAGAGATAGGTAGAGATCGATTATATATTATATATATATTAAAATAATAGCTTAACTATGTGCCAATGTGAAATTATATTTATGGTTGAGAGTGCTGCAGTAGCAGAGATGCAGTGTGCAGCTTTATTATAATTGAAAACACTATTTTACATAATATTATTATAATATTGTATTAATATTATATATTGGAATATAAGTGTACACGATAAATCTCGCGGTCGTTGTGGCGTTGCTATGGTATTGTTGTTATGCTACTGTGGCGAATTTACAAAAAACGGTATGACGTTTTAAAAACCGAAAGCGTGAATCCTTCTCATCTCGTCTCGTATATTCGTAGGTATAATAAATAATATTATATATTTAAATACCTATACTTATATGTACTTATACAGTATACGTATAAGTTATACTACATATACTTATACAGTATACGTATAAGTTATACTACATATACTTATAATGTATATTTATATATTATTACTAATATATGACAGTATTCACGCAGTGGCATACAGTTAAATCGGGCTCTTCAAGGTATGTCCAAGTTGGTATGGGCTAGTGAACCACAGTACTTTTATAACGATAGAAATAAAAAAACATATACAAAAAAATAATTTTTTATTTTAATCAAACAAATTTGAACTTATTGACTGACTGACTGCAGATAGATAGACGTAGAGCCGAAACTATATATATGATAAATTGATAAGTATAGAGACTTCGTGTCTCTATATGTTAAAGTCTATCAAGATACACCTAAAGAGTGCTTTATTTTATATTTGTTAATTTTTCACGAGCGAAGTCTGGTTATACAGCTATAGTGTAATATAATATTATATATTATACATGCATATATTTTATAGTACCTAAAACTATAATAACCCATCCAACCCTCAACCGAAATTTTCTGTGCTCTCCGTTTGAAGCGATAATATTATAAACGCGAGTTTATAATATCATAGTACCTATATCTATGTGTATGCCCCTACTATACCTATATTATATAATATTATACAATCTCCCATAATATGATGTATATTACACATTGTAAACTCTTATATTAATTTATGTAATCCAATAAAGTCAAAAACCGTTACGGTCGTAATAACACGCTTTTCTTCATATACGATACTGTTACTATTATATATAATATATTGTACATGTATTTGTTTGTTCTCTGCCTTCGTAAAGCACACATAGGTACATAATACAATAATATTATTTATATATGCTTGAGGGGTGAGGGCGGTGCGTGTGTACAAAATATATTACACGTCGCGCATCTTGTCTCGCGTACTGCACATCTCATAATATTATTATACCTATATTTATATTTTATATATATAATATACACGGTCGTCCCTGCTACATATGTGCGATGGGGCTTTTTTAATTTTTTTGCTGTCGTTTTGTTTTTTATTCCCCCCAGATCAGGTCCAAGAAAATACAATACGTATATAAAAACACACACACGCTGCACGCATGTACCCGGTAAATGTAGTATTCTTACCTATATATATATTTGCCAGCTATACTATATTATATTATATGTTATGTATAGTGTACAAATACGCCAGTACTTACTACTTATATATATATATATATATATATATATATATATAATGTGACGAGACGTAGGTACCTATACCCTGTTCAAAATAAGAAGCGACCTGATTTACGCTTGAAAACCGGTTTTACTAGTGGCCGCCGAATCGCTTCTTAAAATGAACAGACTATATATATACCAGCAGTACCTACATAGGTACGAGCGGCGTTCACGGTCGGATGTGCAGGAGACAAAAAGAAAACTGCGAAGCGACCAAAAAAAAAATAATAAGGGGCGGTTGTTGGCCCAGTTGTAAAATAGTACCCATATACATATGTCATGTAATATGTATATAATATATAGTGAAAGCAATAATAATAATAATAATAATAATAATATTTTCGTCTGCGTCCGGTCGGAAGAACACGAGGAAACGAAAAAGAAAAAAATTCGTACGGTACATATATATCTCGTCTATATATAATATTATATACGTGTGTAATAATAATAGTTGCTATATATAGGTACCTTATAATACCTATATATATATATATATATATTTCGTATATACAATAATAATATATATCGGATCCGGATCCTTTGCCCAGGGCGTGGTAGACTGCGCGCACGGAGACCAAGCCCCTACGACCAATCGGCGGCGCCCCTCGTCCGTTCGAGCCCGCCCACCGGACAGTCAGCGCGCAGAATCCATGGCCCGCGTCCGCTACACGGCCGGCCGGTCATCTCTGTCGCCCGTCAGTTTGGATCGCTCCGCGGCGAACGGCCCACACACACACCGGTGGCGGCAGTGCGCGCTCCTTCGTATACGTTTAAACGTATATATTATATTATAATATTATTCCGTATACGAACATCGTACAATTTGTAATAAATTGTATCTTTATTGTTATGCGATTTACGAATTTTTTTTTTTTAATATCGTAAAATTGTAACAGTGCGTTCGCCTTACCGGCGTAGTGCAGTGGCAGCGGCGGCGGGACAAGTTTACCTATTCTCATAATATTATACGATACAGACGACTGCTGAATTTTTTTCACACAATTTATAATATAATATACCTTACGGTCGCGTGCTTGTTTTTTCCCCGTTTATTTCACCCGTAATCTTATTTTCAGTCGTGATTTTACGAAATGTTTCGAAAACGCTTTTGAACGCAGGGTCGGAGAGACGCGACGCACTCTCAGCTGCAGCGGTCATCCGACGGTGCGAATTTTCATGGGATTTATCCTCACGTTTTATAATAATATATAGCGTATTATTATTATATTATACTATCCGCTTGCGCCGAATACACATATACAGCCCAACCGCAGATATGATCCAGGAAAACCGTTTCGAGTTGTGCGGTTTTCCGACCACGTACATCAAGAACATGAAGGTACATTTTTTTGAATTATTTCCACTCTTTGGCATGCGTCATTTGCTCTCTGCGAGTGAGGATATAATAAATATAATATCGCGCTATTAAATTATGTGTGGAAAATGGATGTCATATTACCCACATGATGGGGCTACAAAATATATATGAATGTATATTATATAGGGAAAACACGATAGTTACCTAAATTAAATGTCTATATATTATATTATAATATATTATCGTTATACTGTTATGTGAGAACTATGAATATTATAAAAACAGTTTCGTTCTCTACCACAGTATGTATGTATATATATTATATATATCTTAATATACATAAATCTCGTGTCACAATGTTTGTCCTCAATGGACTCATAAACCACTTAACCGATTTTGATGAAATTTTTTACACCACGTGTAATTTGGTCCAACTTAAGATAGGCTAATTTAAAAAGGGAGAGGACCAATTGGGAGGTGCTCAAACGGGAATTTTGAGATTTCCGATGGAAATTTTTGTTTATAAATGGTTGCCATGGGTTTTTAAGCTATTGCAATAATAAAAATAATAAAAAAAAAAAACTATTTGCTTTACTTTTTAAATATAAATTGTAATATAATATCTAACTATAAAAATGTGAAATAAAAATCTCTGTACTACTTATCTCTGGAGCTTCTTATCAGATCTTCTTTATTTTTTTTAAATGAAAGAGTATTTCATGGATAAGGTTTATATGAAAAAAAAAAATGTTAGGAAAATCCACCAGTGTATTATATTATATCGGTTGCTATTGGTTAATCGGGCATGTTTTTGATTTGTATCATTAATTTTTGTCAATAGGTATACATATATCATATATATATAATAAATACAAAAAGATCCAATAAGTAGTTCCAGAGTCTGTATAGTTATAGTCCGTGTATTTATATAGTTATACAGGGTGTCCCGTGAGGATTTACTCATTAGCCGTAGAGGGGGACTTGCCGCCCGGACAAAAACCAGTTTATTGACGTTTTACTAGTAAACTAAAAAAATTATTAAAAATCATGAGATTAATGAAAATAAAATGTTAAAAGCTCAAAATGTTCACAAAAATATACTCTATAGGATAATGGCTATCTTCAATTTTTTCAAAAATTAAAAAATTAAAAAATAATTTTTTTACTTTTTTACTAAAAAATTTAATTTAATTAAAAAATAAAATATTTGTAGTGCTTACCTCTGCGAGTCTTAATAAAAAAAACATAATTACGATATCTCCATTATTTCAGGAGATATCGCAATGAGTAAATCCTCACGGGACACCCTGTATATATGTATATATATAAATTAATGTTTGTGGGTAGATTAGACGTCTGGGAAGAAGATAGGTTAATTTACTAAGGGTTAAATTTGTTTTTTTTTCATCGGGTTTTAGTACGGTTAGGTTAGGATAGGATTTTGTATAAAATGATTATAATAATCCACCTTAGGCGAAATGAAGTAAAAACGATAAACTTGGTATAACTTTAATACTTTAGAGTTAAATCATACACTTACGTACAAACAGCACAGGGTACGCGATCTATCGCAGGTAGATTACTGTTGCGAATCAGAATTTTTATTCGGGGCAACGGAAAAGTTAAGATTAATTTTGAACACCGCATACACCGAATATTAAATAACGAATTGAACAAACTTTGAGACATATAGAATTGATACATTTAACGGGGCAACGAAGTGCACGGGATCAGCTAGTATATATATATATACCTATATATATAAGATTGGTGAGACTCGGGGCAAATATATTTGAAAAGCTTATCGAAATATATAATTGTCTAGGTATATTATATGGTATTATGATTTATGATACTAGCAGCTATATATATATAATATATATACCTAGGTATACATATTATATAGGTATACAATATAATATTATATTCTCCTTTCTTTTTTCGTAACCCTATTTAAAGCTTCGGTTACAAAAATAATCTCCAACATTTTCTCGCATTATACAGTAAATAATGCAATATTGCTCATCAATAAAGCCGTACCAGATAGGCATATCAAATATTAAAAATGATTGCTTGTTTAATTTTATATACTTTTGACGTATACATGGTGATTCACTATGCATTTTTTCCATAAATGAAGAACATATTCAAATTCTGGTTTTTTGAATTAAATGTAAATTGTAAATAGGTAGGTATATACTATATAAGGTAGGTACCATTATGTATTTTCAAATACGATTTGATTGTTTGTACCATTTGAGGAGAATATTCTGTACACTTGTATGTATCTATAATGTAAACTCCATATTTTTAAATGAGAACCAACTTTTTTTACCTTACATTTTTCAGAAAATAATTTTTTAGAAATTTTTTCAAATCAAATCAAAATCCAAAACAGTGGTGGCAGAGTTATTAAAATGAAGACATGTGTAACAGTGTAACCACTTATAAGGAATAAGGATAATAGACAATAGACATAGTTTTGAAAAATGTATTTAGATAAAATAAAATATAGTTAACACTAATATACCTACCTATATTATACACAGACAATTTTACAAATTATAAATTGTTTAAAAATTTACAATAACTATAATTTTAAAATCTATATAGGTAAGGACCTATGTTACTATATGGTCATGGAGATAGTATCCTTAGTAGTTATAGTGCAAAAAGTTAAAAAATTTAGAAACTATATTATTCGTTCTTTTTTCAATAAAATATGTTGATAAATCAAAATTAAAAAAAATGTATCTACTAACGCCTGGCAGTTTATACTTTATAGTAAACTATATTGGTTCTCATATTATGAAAAAAAAAGAAGTGTGTATTGCTACAGAACATTCCATAAGTAATCCAAATCTAAATTATTGAAAATATATGTACCTTAAGGGTTAACTATAAACTTGAACCTTATATATAAATCAATAAATTCTAAAAAAAATTTAATTAATTAATTTTTATAAATTTCAAAAATGGGAGTCAATCACTCTGTATGTGGTACACCAAATTACGCCATTGCCGGGTACAGGAAATCGGAAGTTTACTTAGCATAATTAAGCAGAAACCGGCAAAATATGTATTCGCTGATTTCATGAAATATTGGTTTACCGTATAGTATAGCTGTGCTGAGTTGTTTTTTCGAATTATACATAATTGATCACAATTTTGTTTTTAAGTCAAAAACAGAAATTTAATAAACAAGGTTCCTTATAAGTTATAACCTAGGATTTTTCTTATAATTAGGTAGTTATAAAATATTTAAAATAAATATCAGAATTTTGAATACAAGATTAAACCTCAAATTTTGACTAAATTCATCAAAATCTTGGGTATTAATATATGAATGTCTTTGATTGTTAATTTTAAAATGATTTAATCGTGAATTCATAATTTTTCCACTGTGCATATACCTATTGCAGGGAGTATATTACTCTATGGTTCAATAACTGTACTTACATAACTTAATATTTGATATCTTGCAGTGATTGATACCGTATGTGCTAAAGTTTGCGCGAGCAGTCCTGAGTTCTATAATTGTCTAGGTATAAAATAAAAATGTTGATCAGTAGGTTGAAGGTATTTTTGTTCATTTATTTTTTATAATATAGTGAGTAAGGGCCGAAAAATTAGTCATTCGTCATAGTATTTGCTTAAGAATAAGTATTGCTTAAGCTAATTTTGATAAATTAAAAAAAAAAAATTAACATTGTGTAATAATAACTAAAAGCAATGCTTAATGTAGGGCATCGGCCAATCTTAAAAAAACAAGTAATACTTTTTCTTTTCTTAAGCCAAAGTCCCGTTTATGAATATCATTTGAGTCATAAATATAGTTTTAGCAATACTTATTCTTAAGTATCAACTATGAAGACGACCCTAAGTTTTAGAGACTAGGGAGCATTTTGACAAGGGTTGCCTTAGTTGCTCAAAGGAGAAAGTAGGTATATTACTATATTACAGTATCTTCAGTAATCTTCAGTATTTAAAATATTCAACGAAAAATATAAAATATGTATTTAAAACGAGTAGACTAGTTGCAAAAGGTAATCTGATTTTGTCAAAAAAAACATGGTCGAATACAGATATTGAGATTTGTTTAGTTGTAGAGACGACAATAAAACTACCAATGTCAAAATACCCATTTATAGATTTTGTGATAACGAACATACCGAATATCTTTTGCATCGACTGATCGACTGAATACTCATATACAAGAAAATATAAGAGTTAAGTGAGAAATTATAAGGGTCATTAAAGTAATTACACAATAATTTTAATTAAAACTACATTTTTCACAATGCGGGTTCATAAGATGCCATATTTACATATTATGTGAAAAATTGCCCTCTGGCCTCCATTCATTTTGAGTTATATTATAGATTATATACCCCCATCATTATTGTAGATCTACTATCTGTAGTACTAGATAATGTTTTTTTTATTGAAAATTGTATATCGTATATCAATATATAGTATAGTAATTTAGATCTAAATGATATTTTTAGTTTGTTCGAATACCTATCACAAATAAATGTTTATTCATTTGTAAAAAAATTATTAAATTGCCAGTAACACGATCGACAACTTAAGGGTAAGGTACTAGTGTACTACTATATTTTAATCTAAGAGTGGTTTTGACTAAAATCAAGTTATTAGATATGATAATTTTAAGATTTGATATTTCAGTTGGAAATTTACTTGTGAGTAGGACAAGTAGATAGATAATTATTTATATAACCTTCAAAATATCCTAGGTACTAATTTTAATGCATGTTTGAAAAATTATCAATTATGATTTATGAACTTATACCTATTTACATTTGATTTCGTCTAAGTTGTGTTTCCGCATTTTAATTACTTTAAATTTAATATATTATAAGGTATACAATTTACTAATCCTGAATCATAAATATCCTAAATTAGACTATTATCAATATAAATATTGAATCATAATTCATAATAATGTTTTAATAACATTTAGGCATATTATAGTAGAAAAAATAATTTTTATATTTGTT